TGGGCGGTAAGTACCAGCAGAGAAGGGAGAAGGCGTGCCATCCAGCCCACGTGATCAGCCCACGTGATTAGGTCCTACTTGGTGACACTATGCCTTGACAATCCTCATCTCTGCAAGTGAAATTACCCAGGAAACTACATATACAGACAAGGCTGTAGGTGAATTTTTTTTTACAATGCTGTTTATTAGAAGCACATATTTGTTTCTTTTTTGGAAGACTATTTGGGGGAAATATCATCGGACATCTTTAGAAACTAGAAATAGTGGTTCTCAAAAAGCTGAAGGACATGACTAGGAACAAAGAAAATTTGGGCTGAGACAGTTTTATTAACTGGGTTGTCAGATGATGGGGGCTAAAGTCAGGGGCCTCCGAAGAACTTGGTAAAGAGAATGTAGTCACAGTTACACTGGCAAAATCCACTTATAGTGGATTAGTCATTGTTGAAACGAAGGAAGAGTCCTCCTTTCGTCTAAAAGTTTGGACCCTACGCAGCTGCTGAGTGATCTAGAACAATCTTAAGGTTGGTACTCAACCATGATTGGGAATGTGGGAAACCTACTTGATTGTACCACAATGTGTCTGCAGACTGACAATGAACAAGAAGGGGCCGGTCAGCTGTGAGAACAGAAAAGAATGGAACGCTGCTGAGGCCAAAGGTGCAGGGCACTAGCAGAGAGCATCTGGGCTCAGCTGAATTCAGCACACAGCTGCCTGGGCACCCCCTTCCCTCTGGCGCGTGAGGGGGCCTCAAGCTATGCCTGCAAACGACTGGGTCCTCCTGCTTTCCTTCCTTGCTCTCCCAAAAAGCACCAAGTACATGTGGTTTCCTGTACAATCTGGCTTCGAAAAAGCCAGGCCCAGTGGGAGCAAATGCCCAGGGCAGGCCATGCGTTCCAGACTGGCTGACATTTCCGTTCTTGTTGCAATTAGTAAGCTGGCAGTCGGCTCACTGGGTAAGTCTCTGTGAGTTGGCAAAGGTGAGCCTGCATCACAGCCACAGGCATCTTTAGAAATCTTTGATGGAAGGTTTCTGCGGTCCTGAGAGGCAGACCCTCCGCTGCAGAACATTCGCTATGGAAATGCCTCCGGGAACCTTTGCAGCACTCTGGTTCTTGACACGGTATATACTCAGAAGAGTCCTCCACGGCAACGTATACTAGCACAGTAACATTTTCTTCGGGTGATTTGAACAGCTTCTGTTGAAGTGCTGCAGCCCGAGACTTCTTCTTAAAAAGCAATCTTTCAGAAACATCTTTCAGAATATCTATTCTATTTTTTTAATGACAATAGAAGTTCTCTGTTCTTGAGAGCCCAAGTTCCCCGTTTTCCTTCAATGATGATGACAGAGCACGTACGTTGATTGCTTCAATAGAGCTCTCAGCATATTTAATCTTTCCATTTTGATATTCAATTTTACTGTCAAGTCTCAAAATAAACAGACAGCCATTGAATCTAGGTTCTCTCATAAATAGCTTACATAATTGCTCTAAAATATGCACCAAGAGATCAGCGGGTGCCCCCCCCCACAGGGAATAGTTTGAGAGAAAGCCCCAAAGCGTTTGTCACTGGGTGAGAGAGAATCTGCCCAGCGCTCTCTGAAAGAAAGCCCTCCAGGAAATTCCAGAAGGCTCTGTGGTAACCACCTGGGTCCGCACCGCCGCAGCAATGGGCCAGCCTCGTCAGAATGCTTCCGCGATGCCTACTGATTCAGGAGGTCGGCTGCCGAAGAGATGGGGTTTGCTGCCGTCTACCCTAATCATCCCAGACCATCCTCTTTTCTGGGTGAATGGTTGCAACCCCAGCCACTGGCAAGACAAGATGACATGTGCTGAAACCGGTGGCAGAATGTTTCAGACTCTGTCATTCACACAGCGCATGTGTGTTAATGATTCCAATCATCTTCACACGGCTCGGCTCGGCAAACAACACCCCCAGCTCCTGACACGCTGTCACCAGCTCACCAGTACTCTGCATGTGGTGATAAAGGCTGGTGTAATGGCCAGTGCAAAGCAGGTTGGCTGGTTTTATAGGCCGGAGGGGATAAAGAGGATGTAAGACTTTACATTTTCTAAAAGCTAAATGCCACATCACACAATCACTTCTCAGCTGCACGTATTACTTTGTCTGACAGGTACGACCATTGCTCCCCCCAACTGAGTTTTCTGCTTCTTAGGGACAAGGTTAAAAGACCTATCAAAGAGATGGTGGCTGCTTGTCTGAGGTTGGCGAGATGCCCATGGGGCCGCAAAGAGCGTGCATGCCTCAACGAGCAAGCTGAGTCTACTCCTCACCGACAACTTCACTCTCTTGGTAGAAGTCTTCCCTTAATACCTTATGTAACAGAGCAGAGCTTCTAGAAGAGTATGCCATGGAATCTCTCTCACCTGGTGTATTTGCTGCCTCACTAAAATAGGACCGGGAACTGTAAGGCAAGGTGCCACAATGCAGGCAACCAAGGCTTTGCCCATTTGTTAAAAGAATTATCCAGATTTTACCTTAGCCTTCAAAATCATACTATATCAATCAGAACCAAAAAGGTCGTAAATAACCAGTAGGGCGGCATGCTTGCTAAGGTTCCTTGGCCACAGGAGAGGAGTCACCACGAAGGACGTGGCATCCAAATGCTTCAGGACACGAACACCTTTTACCAGGCTTGTAAAGATGGGTGAGAAGGGTCAAACAGGCAGTCAGGACAGCCCTCTCCCCTCCACTCCTTGGAAGAGGCCCACCCTCAGTATCCTTTTGGAAAGGTCTGGCAGGTCTCTGTGGCCCTGAACATCAGATCCGTTGCCAGACCCTAAGCCCACAAAGGCAGGAAGAAGGGACCCAATAAACACACGGTGGATGAATGAATAAACAAAACATAACACCCAGGGAGCAGATCCTGAAAAAAGATGAGAAATTACATGAAGATTATACCATTCTGTGCCCGCTTGTCTCTACGACTATATTTTATAAAGCATTAGATTTCCTTTTAAAGGCTATCATCAAAGTTCTCAGATGCATTTGGATTCCCAGGGAAGCTCATAAAGACGTCAAGATAACTGCGTTGATTTGACAGCCGAAGCAAGATGAACCAGAGTCAGACTTCCATCATTATAGCACAGTTTGAGCTGGAGCCTTCCCACACTTGAGATAACAGAGCGATAATTACACAAAGACCCTAACAGTTAACATATATGGGACGTTTACCAAGTACCACGTAGCTATGCTAAAGCTTTCCTATCTTTTCAACAGTTCAGCACGGTAAGTACGATTATTCTCACAATTTTACAGATGAAAATACTGAGGGTTAGACACATTCAGTGAGATGACCTGGAACAGGACAAGTAATGGATGGGGCCATGATTCAAGCCCAGGTCTGTCAGATGCTGTAGCCTGGAGTCACAACCATTACACTCTGTAAATGTCTGTCAAACCTCAACCCTGTGTCCTGTTGTTTCAAACCATTTACGATCCAATCATTACTAAACGTTAGCATCTGTTTTTCTCAGGGATGGATTCTGTCAACTGATAACCCATCACTGCGACCATCTAGTAAAAATGGCTCAAGTGATTTTGCTTGCTACAATTTTTTTTTTCTTGAATGGTGAGCTCTTCTCTGTTCTGAGAATTTATTCCTCTCCTAAAATACCGTGGGGAACTGGAAGGTGGGGTTGTCATGACTTTGAAACAGTACTTCCCAAATTATAATGTGTCACGTGTAACGCATCAACGGGTCACCTGAGGACCTTGTTCAAACGCAGGTTCTGATGCGCCAGGTCTAGAGCAGAGTCTGAACATTCTAACAAGCTCCAGGTAATGCTGATAAAGTGTGGCACGTGGACCAGCAGTTAAGTGTCAGGGATACAGAAAACACCAGGTGTGGGGAATAAGCCTAGGAATTCCCTGAGCTTATTTCCAACAACTAGGAATTGGAATCCAGATTCTCTGAACCCCAAACTCAGTTCCAAGAGAGCACAACATGTGTGGAACAGAGCATTCTTCAGCTAAATAATACAAGAAAGTGACCTGCGCAAAAGCGTAGAAGGTGTGGCCCTAGGAATAAAACCAATCTAAAGATCTATGGGGCATAACCTTGGTGGGTACCAGTACCGTGCAGCTTCTCGAACAATCACGTGTGTTCATCTAAGCAGTACACACACCATCGACACGGTTTCGTATTCTTACCAACCAATCCACCAGTATGTAGCTATCCTTCATAAACGTCAGCTTCCTGGGAATGGTCATGGGTCCAAGTCAGGTTCATGGTCCAGTAGCAGAGCCCCAATGGGCACAAAGAGAAACCAGTCCAGAAAGGCAGACAGAAGTCAAGTGAAAGCCTGAGCCAAGAGCCCTGAGATGCAGGACAAAATGGAAAAGACCAAGGTGCTGCCCCCTTATAATGTAAAGTGCTTCTAACTTGTCAACATCTCTTGTTACATCTCATCGGAGAAACAATACACCCGCAGCGAGGCAAAGATGGACTCTGGTTCATTTAAACAACAGCAGCGGAAAATGGGCCCCGGCAAAGAGAGAACAGGTCAGGGGTGTGTACGTATACACACACAGTGTAGGAACATTACTGGCTTTGCTCTGCGTCCTCAGCCTCATGATGTGCTTTTCAGCCACTTCCACGATACTGGGCACTTCACCACCGCCAAGGACATACGACACAGGATGCAGGCGGTCCACTTAAATGGAGCACCCAAGAGGTCTTGTCATGTGGGTGCTTCTATGTTCTAGGTACTGCACCAAGCGCTTTGTACACGAGAATAAGGATCACTGTCATTAGCTGTCATATGAGGAAACTGATGCTTGTGGAAGGTAATGAACTCATTCACACTCTCACCCAGCGTACAGAACAGCCGAAGGCTCAGAAACCAGGTCCATCGAACTAAAATGTCAGTGCTCTTCAATGGTCCACTAAACTCCCCTCACCCCTCACCCTGAGACCCATCAGGGAAGCCACCACTCTGACAGTGTGCGGAGCGCTGACATCCAAGCCAGGAACACTTACATTCCCCTCCTTTTCAAAGTCAGGTGGAAGTAACTTCACGAAGTTATCGGGGAACACTCCTCGTCTGCCGTTGAGCTCTCCTTCCCACCAGCCCACGTCGATGCAGTCCTAGGAAACAGGAGAGCAGAGAGTGAGAAACAGGACAAGCACCCTCCAGGGAGGTCTGACACCCTGTTAGAAGGGATGGAGGCCCTTTCCTGGAGGCCACTGTCAACCGATCCACCGTGGTTACTGAGACCAGATCAGCATCAACCTCAAAGTCAGACGGGAGAAGGAAAGCACAAGTGTGCTAGAGCTGCTCAGACTCGAAACACAGTGTGGCTGCCGGATGCCCTGAATCTAGAAGATCTTTTTTTTTTTTTTAAAGATGGGAGGATATGTATCTTCTTTGTCTTAATTTTACTGAAATAAAATTATTTCATTAACAGCAAACATGCTTCAGAAAGTATCACATGCACAAAGGTTCTCTTTGGCCTGTCACAAAGCTTGCGGAAATGAAAAAAGGGCTTTGTGTTGAGAGTCAGCCAAGCCTGAGAAAAATCCACTTTTGGCAAGCTCGTGAACGCCCTGCTCTTCCTCACCTTCTCCTTTCGGTGTTGATGGGGCACGGGTGTCATCATGAGAAGCCCTTCCCCCACCTTACAGAATTCCATGTTTGCTTACTAAATGAATGAACAAATCTATTCATTCTTCCAGATCAAACCTGTTTCCCTTTAAGTAATCCCTATTCTGTTCACTCACTCATCAAATGTTTACTGAGTGCCTATTTTGTGCCAGGTATCAGGCAGACGGTGAGAGCTCGGCCTGTGCCAAGCTTCCGTCCTGAGCCTAATGGCCTCATAGTTCTCCTGGATGCTTAACCTCATGCCATAAACCACTTCCATTTTGCCTCACATCCAATTGGTTGGAAGGCAAGTTTGTTTTGGTTTCACAATGTATCTCACATTTGTCCCCCGGCTCTAATTCCACTTGAACCACCCTAATCCAAGACTCACCTGGCCTACTGCAAACCTCCTCACTTGGGCACTTTTTCCGGCCCAGCTTATGGACAATGTACACACAGTGCTGTTAATTACACGCCCTCGAGTAAAAATCCAGTTCTCAGAGTGTGATCGATAACTTCCTGCTAGAGCCGAAAATGAGCAAAGGCTTTCCAAAAAGTGCTAGTCACACATAGGACTTTCAAAGTTGCGCCTGAAGCAGGAGATGTTCAGCAAAGTGAGGAGATCATGCCCAGGGCCCATGGAGAGACACTCATGGTCCGCTACAAAACCAGTGGGCCAGGATGGCTCAAGCAGCAGATGTGCAGCTGGCCCAGGGTCGTGCTACAGACCCCCAGAGGGCCACAGCTTATGTGACTCACAGGTGCCTTGCTCAATCATACATCTTAGCAAGGTGAAGAACACATCTGGCTTTGTCACCATTATGCCCCCAGCCCACCGCACAATGTCCAATGTAATAAATATTTATGGAATCAATGAAGACTCTTTCTAACCCTAAGTTCTATGATCTCCTGCAGTCAGGACAAGGTAGCCTCCATCTACCTTAACTCACGATGACTGTATGTAAGAGAGGTCAGGTAAGAAGTAAATGAGCACCACCCTCCCTTCCAATAGTGGTAACTGTTTACAAAGATAAACTAACCCTTTAGAAGAGGATGTGGGTTTTAGAAATGGGCCCTTAATCACAGATGGTAAATTCTAGTCCAGACCAATGCCAAAAAACAGACACTTGAAACATCAAGTTCAGACTTACCCAGGACAAATCGGAGTTCAAAAGACAACATGAGAGAATGCTTATCTTGCTTGAAAAATAACAAAGAGAAGCCCAGGTAAGTATTCTGGCCCCACTCATGTCACATCGCTCCCTAAACAATCTAGCATCAGTCCCCACAGAAAGGATTCACGGACAGGGATGGCGGTGGCAGAGTATGATAGCTTCTGCCGTTCTCCCAAACCTGAGAAGACATCATCATCAACAACCCCAGAAAATCTTGGGAAGGCCTAGGGTGTGACATTCCTATACTCTCAATCCTTAGGAATGAAATCTTTCAATCCAGAAGGCTCTGCTTTTGAGGAAATGCTTGGCACCTTTCTCTCCTCTTTTTCCAGACAAGTCCCTCTTCTTTTCAAAACCCAACTTGAAACTCACCTTCAGTAAAGTGATATTGGTGAACGCTTTATCTTTTCTCTAATACTCACAACTGTGTTAATTTGCACTTCATGATATTCAATTCAACAAACATCTATTAAATGCAAAGTACATTTAAGTTCTTTCTGTAGGCACCAAACATTAAACCTGCAAAGAACATGATCCTTAACTCCAGGGAGATTAGAGATTTATGTGAAAGACCCCCACACAATATTACACAAGGCCCTCTTGGATAACAGGTATCAACCAAGAGGTCTGGTACCAAAGAGGAACAATCATTAACAATTTTTCAAACAATCTTAAATCTTTTCACGTGTGAAGGGTTTGCTTCTGTGATGACTGAACTTCCCTGCACATTCAATTCAGAGCATCTGATACAGAATTACATCCACAAAAGGCACTTAAATACTGTTCAGTGCTACATTTCTTTTACAAAGCTTCTTTCCAACTTTCTGACTGGTGCAAATGCATGCCTCGCCTTAGTCTCATGCAAGCAGTAGCCCAAGAATCATTGCGATGAAGCCTCTTCCTTCATATGTAAGAAAAACAATGAGGAGAATTTTAATAAGTAGAAGCATATCCAGAATAACTTTAGAACTCATCCATGCCTACGGGGGAAAACAGTGCATATGACATATTTATTATATCTCCCATCAGTGGTGAATGAATGGCTTGGATGGCTCGTCTATACTCTGCTTTTGAAGGATAACATTAACAGTACTGATCATTGTGTAATTCAAGGTAAGAGGGAAAGCGTGAAGGTAGAACACAATCTGTCTTACTGTTCTGATTGGTATAAAGACAAATACAGGGCTCATGGATGAGATAAGTGCATTCCAAAAAGAAAATAGCCAGTGTGCCTTAGGACACAAAGGAAAGCGGAAGAGGGAACCTGCTGCAGGACAGAAACCAGCCCAGGGTCAAGGTACCTGGAGGGGGCAGAGACCGGTAGAGAACCGGGGCGCTTCTTACCCCCTAGCAAAAGAAGCTAATCTAATGGGAACAGGAACAATTCTGACAGCAAAATGAGAAGTGGAAAAACATCTTCTTCAACAAACCAGGCAAAAGAACTAGCCTTTTGATGGCAGAAATGAAGAGACAGTTATTCGTAGGAGGGCTGTGCTTCTGGAAGTATAAGAGAACAGCAAATTCAATTTATTTGCTAAGGACTGAAAACATGCAGGATAGCAGAGGCATTCAGGGGTAAACAGAAAATCATAATGTCCTTACAGGACTCCCAAGCTCAGAGGCTAGCGGGAGAGGCAGACGCAGTGAATCAATATGACGCAGAAACGCCGGCAGGAGTGCTAAGCCAGGTTTAAAAACAAGTGGGACCTAGATAAACCGGGTAGCCTGGAAAGAGAATGAGGGCATGAACCAAAGTAATGAGAAAGGTCAAAGGCAGGATCACCAAACATGAAGGAAGGGAAGAGGGAGAGTGGGAAGCTGGGGTCATGGAAGAGAATATTCAAGAACTGGTGCTTAGAGTGAAGGCAGTGCCTGGCTCCCAGAGGGCTCCCAGCCAACATCGACTTACCAGCGATGTGAGGCATGAGGCAAGATGGCACCCGTGAGAGGAAGGAGCAGGATGAAGGGACAGCGGGTCAGTGATCTGTGAGGCCAGAATATCATCAGGGAGGATGGCAGAAGGCGAGTGAAAGCAGGACAATGAGATAGTGAGGAGAGAGGAAGTATGGCCAAAATACTGGAAGATGTAAGGGTGACCATGTCATTTCTTTTCAAACCTGGGACATTATTAATAATCATACCGGGACCAAAGATGTAACCCAAGATGATGATCACCCTAGCAGATTTTAAGATTCCAATAAGGATGAGGAAAACAGAGCGGCTTCTGAATGAGGCAGGAGTTTGCAGCGGGAGAGAGTAAAAAATCAGCACATAGATGAAAGAAAGCTTCCAGAACAACGATCATTAGAAATAAGCTCCAGTGGCACAGGAAAGGAGAGGAAAGGAGACCTGGACTTGATCAAGAGTTGAGGGTATGGAAAGAATGACATTTCTGACACAGAACATTCACTCTTCTATGACCAAGTCCTCAAAAACGGTTTCTCTATGCCTCATCACCAGGCAGATATCAGAGTAAAATACGGTATTTTTCCTTATAAATTACAAACCACGTTTTTCCTTTTAAGGAATGAATAAACAGAGCCTCAGTTGTGCCGTGCTCCCACCTCTATGCTCTGCCCTATCTCAGGGTGTCTGAGATATCGCAGGGAGAGGGGGAAGACAGGCAATGTGGGCTGTCTGAGAATTAAGTGGTCCACAAGTTATCAAAACTCTGGGTCTCAGTTTCTTGATACACAGGACAATTTGGATGGGGTGTGAAGAGCGACACGACCTTGGTGGTCATCATTACTGTGATTCTATGGACTGGTCCCAACGACCTGGAGGGACAGTGTGCCAGGAAAGCTTCCGGCCACACCCTGACGTACAACTTGGCAGTCAGCAAGCGCGCTCTGGTGTGTCTGCCTCTAGTCTCCGTGCCACAGATGTTTAGAAAAGACAAACTTGTCTTTTGGTTGAATTGTAAATTGGTGAAAAGATCGAGCCAAAACCTCATCCTGGGCTCCCTTTTGTCAACAACGCAAAGTAACCTAATAGTTCATGGTTTCTCAAAGCTGGCTGCACACTGAGAATCACCTGGGGAGTTATTACAATTCCCAGGGCTGGGGCTACACCCCACACCAATTTCTAGGGGGTCGGACCAGGAAATCAGCACTTTTTAGAGGTTCCTTGGTCCTTAATATGCGGGCTGACCATCAATGATTTGGACTCACGCTTGCCAAATTTTAATGCACATAATACCCACTTCGGCATCTTGTGAAAATGCCAACTTGGATTCAGTAGGTCTAGGGCGGGTCCGAGATTCAGCATTTCTAACAGGTCCCTGGGTGATGCGTATGCTGCTGGTCCGTGCACCACACTTTGAATAGTAA